GATCTTTTGCATCCTGCAAAACAAACAAGGTAGAAAGTCGATAAGAAAGCGCGAAAGGCATATTGACAAAGAGGGGGCGAAAAGAAAAGTACCTCAGAAGTTTTGGGTGAAGGAGAAGTTCTGGTAACCACGGTATGGAACACTTCAGTTAAGTCTTCAGGAACATCAGGTTTTGGAGTCGAAACAGCTCCTTTGAGGGGTGTTTTCTTTGTTGGGATTTTCTTTTTCCGCCTCAAAGGAGTGGTCGGGGAAGAGTCTGACGTTTCAGAAGGAAAAACCCGAGAACGAGTACTCTCGTCCGACATCACAACGTCGGGAATGATTTGTTCAAGAATCTGGTTAGAACAAATCACGTAAGTCAACAGGCAGGGACAAGCGAAACAAAATTGATAAGGAAACATATCATACCTGAGCGTTAGAGATTTTTTGTTTTTTGGCTGGTTGGGTCGAAGTCGACGCCACAGGGGGTTCCCTCTTGTGCCCTTGAAAAAATATAAGAAACATTCAGGAAACAACGCAAAGACTCAACATAAGCAGATAGAGACGAAGAAAAGTGAGTTTACCCTTTTTTATGCATCCCCAAGGGTATTAGTGGGCCTTGCATCCACCAAAGGTGCCGACGGACCAAGATCTTTGCCTGAGAGAGCTGCAAAAGCATCGACCACATTTTCTAGGAAGAGGTCATGCTTGAAGTGTTGCGCTTGGTACTCCGACCACTAGAAATTGAAACTCCCGGAGGTGAAGAATGAAGGTTTGTAACAAAACACGGGCAACTTTAGATGTTGAGTCGACTTAGCAAACTTGAGACAGTTCCTATGTCCCTTCAATTTAAGCCCTCGACCAGCCTACACGACGTCATCACGATGTCGAACCAATGGCTTTGGCAGCATCTGGCTTAGGCCAAATTATGGAGCAACCAGATTGGGTTGATAGTTCATGAACCCATAACCGATGTTGCTCGAGTCAATACGAAATGGTAGCATTGTCGGGGTTAGGAAGGCTCTCCATATGGAGTTGGATAGTGCAGCTGTTCTGGGTGAAGCACCAGGGAAGGGATTCTGGAACTAAGTCGACACAAACTTTCGATGGGCAAAGGGAGCCATCCCAGGAACAAAGATGTTTGCCTCAGCAAACATAGTGAGATATTTCATGAAGAGGGTTTTGTTGAGGGTCTCCTACGTGGTCAGAAGAGCAAGTCGAACTCCTTCCATCGGTCGGTCTTCGTTCAAACGTTGCATCTTGGCCGACACTGGATAGCCAATTGATGTTCAAAAGTGGCGTTTAGCCAATGTTGCAGTAGACACATCGACCCCGACATATTCAAGGCTTTGTTAGTTTCATATAGACGGGAAATTTTTAGTGACGACGGCCCCAGAGAGTGATACAGAGAGGCTAGAAGGAGCTTGCCTAGGGCCACCTGTTGACCCTCATGGATTTGAATAGCCAAGATGATATAGCTTTTGACTATTTACAAAGAACCTGGGAAGAAAAGGTAGTATGATAGCCACAAAGTCAAGAAGGCAATGTGCTTTTCGTCAGACACTTTGACTGAATCTTTGTCGTGATGATCTTCGATAAAGTTCTGAAAACCAACATGATCGAAATCAAAAGATGCCTCAGTCTCAATGGTGGGGTCGAAGGTATTGCCCAACGGAGAAAGACCAGTAATGGCTGCCACATTGAAAAGAGTAAGCGACAGCATCCCACAGAGTAGTTGGAAGGTGTTCGTCGAACCTTCCCAAAATAACATCGACGCCAGTAGAAGACAGAGGTTGACCCTGTGAGCATTCCTTGAAAGTTAAATGGTTTCGAAGATGCCAGATCTTTTCCATTGGTCTTGATGCTTGTTTTGAACCTTGTTTAACTAGGCAAGGTAATCTTTGTTTCCTGGGGTGGGCATCGAACGAAACACCCTCGCCTTAGGTGCCATGAATTTTAAACCAAGAGTGACACCTTTGCGAAAAGCCAGAGGCATGGCTGCCGGAAAGCCATGCAAAAACGGATGGATGGCCTCATGGTTAGGTTTGTCGGTAGGGTAAGGACCATGAAACACATGGATTTGGTGGGGCATCTTGTTGGCTGAAAATTAGCCAACTAAAAGCATCCTGACAATATTGGCAGCAAAGGATCGACAACGACAAATCTAGAAGGGACGCACCCTAAGTCGACATCACAAGGGGAACTGCATGGTCGACAGGAACCTAAGTCGGTCGACCAAAAAACCAACAAAGGCAACCCCGACAGAGGAGCTTTGGTGCCTGGCGGGAAACAAATTTGACAAAAGGAACGTGGGAGAAGTTACAAGAGTTGTGGTCTGACACGTGGCGGTTCCTGAAGCATCCTGACAGTTATTTTATTTGCCTATATAAAGAAAAGTTTGGTTTTGAAGAAGGGGCGTCTTTTGTCAACATTTGAAGAAAAACACTCTGAGTAACACACACAATAAAGAGAAAAGAGTTTCTCTTTTCATTACAAAATGTACGAATGCGTCCAATTGTAATTTTCTTTTTTACGCTAAATTTACCAAGTCTTTATGTTATAAAAGCAACGCTTTTACTTTCTTTTTCAACAATTCTTTGTTTTATTAGGAACATCGTTGGCTTTACTTGCCTAAATTTCATCATTCACACTCCCAAAAGCAAACAACCGACGAGTGTACCATAAATCCTAAGCAAACAATCCACCCAGTACCAGAGTCCTGTGACTAGTTTGGCCAGTCCTGCAAGCAAACCCGTGGCGGGAGGTCAGAGGTTGTCCGCGCGATAAACACGTGCGGACACATCCTAAGTATCTATAGTATCCTATAGGAATCTCTTGTTGTATTTGTGTTATTGTTAAGTTGTTTGCTATTTTAGATTGATTGGGGAGATGAAAAAAAGAAATGTTTTTTATTGTTTTTGTGAAAGGGAGAAAATAAAAAGGTAGAAAATAAAAGGTAGAAAAATAAAAAGGTAGCTCGCCAAGATCTTGCAATCTTGTGCCTACGTATCCTATATAGGAAGTCGGAGCAATCATAGTTCGACTAACTACAGGTAAAAGCATGTTTGTTGGTTGGTTTTATGAGAAGAGACAAGTTGTCATCTTAAGGAGAATACTCAACTAATCCACCACAAACATGCGGAAGATGGATCTTTACTTCACATTGAGAGAAGGGCTCCAACGCGGATATATAATCAACGAGTGTGCCACATATATCTCTCAAGTGGAAAAGAATCAACATCTTTCTCAACTATGTCATGGGGTAGGAGAATTACATCTCAACTAAGGATGACTATTGTCTAATCTCTTTTGAGAAAAGGGAACTTATTGTAGGTTATCTAAAGTTGAAATATCCTAAGGGTAACTACCTAAGAGGGTCACAACTGAAAGTAATCACTACTAGAAATGATGTATTTAGCCTCGGCCATATTCCGACACTATAAGGCAAAAAACCGCCGCTACTAGCCAATTAGCCTCGGCGTAGCATCGGTGTCGGGGATAGGCTAAAACGATCGAAGCTAACATTTAGCCTCGGCCAAGAAGAGTCGTGTCTAAAGTAGCCTCAGTCTAGCCGTGTCTACTTTAGCCTCAGTTTAGTCGTGTCTACATTAGCCTCGGTGAAGCCGTGTCAAAAAACAAAAAATAGCCTGGGCCTGACCGAGGCTAAAGTCAAACTCCATAAGCCAACATTATATTTAGCCTTGGTCCTGGTCGAGGCTAAAGGAACATTTTGTCTCGGTTTATTCGAGGCTAAGTTCAAACTTTATAAGTCAACAAAATATTTAACTTTGGCCTAACCGAGGCTAAAGTCAAATTGTACCAACATTTAGCAATCAAACTCCGAAGCACCTTGTGGAGTCCGAAGCACAACTTGACCTATTCCATTCTGATCCTTTGTAATTTCAGTTGCTGCTCTAAAGTTCCATACTACTGCAGAATGCTCCATCTAAATTAAACATGCAGCAACAAGGCAAAAAAACCATTCAACATAAACCAATACATATATATCCACAATTAGGATTCACACATGACAATGCATCCATTCATACAACAGTCATATAAATTCAATTTAAATTACCAGTTCACTAAAATAACCACATTACACTAAACCAATTGATATAGAATGAATCAATCTCACCTTCCAAATTATAATAGCACAACATGTTAACCGACAGTGACAAATCATTTGGATTAGCATTGCACATTCAAATCTAGTTGCACAACTAACATGAACCTATTCCATAAGTTGACACTAACTCCTGACTTTTCATTTTAAACTAAATAGCATGTAAATTAGTAGTTCATTAATACATAACCTACAGTCATCAACTAAGTGAATTAACACCTAACCAGTGGTAAGAAAAAATAGACAGTGGTAAGAAAAAAATTAGAACCATTTGCAAAATTGTCATTACAAGCTAAGAATATGTTATCATCATGTTCTTACTGAGTTGATGACAAGTGACAACAGTTAGCTAGGAAACAAACGAACTGAAACACTTATAACTTTGATTCGATTCACAGATAACATATTAACACTTACTGAGTTGATTCCAAATTTGAGAAACTTTAAGCTAAGAATCTAAGAAACGAACTGAAACACTTAACACTTATTGAGTTGATTCCAAATCTGAGAAAGCGGCTTTTCTGTCTTTTCTCCTACGCCACCTTAGAAGAAACTTTAAGCGTCTTGCAGTGTTATTAACCGAGCTAGATTTATGGTTATATGGAGAATTGGCACCATCAGAGTTGTTACTTAGTTCACTTGAGCAAGAATATGATTCAGGACTTGTTTGAACATAATTAGCATCAGATGCATTCTCAATGCCAGTGTACAAGAATATCTCTGCATCTGGTATTCTAAACAACGTCCCGGGACTGGCTCCATTTACACTGATTTGAATCTTCTGCAGTGGCTGCACAGTACTACATCTTGATTCAGAATTGTTTGAAATAAGTTCGCGATTCATCCCTCCCGCAGAAATCAACCGTTTTATTAAGAAATCAGAAGACGTCGATTGTTACCTTTGCTTCAAAATATCTACAGGTGTCAGCCCGTCGACATCACAAATGTTCAAATCAATTAACGGCAAAGACATAAGCAATTCCACTACCTCAACTTGGATGTTATCAATCACAGATACATGAAGAGCAGTTCTTCCATCATTGTTCTTTAAATTGACAATGTCTCGTATCTTTACAATCTTCTCACTAACTAATTTCTGCACGAGTTCGAAATGCTTGTCTAGTCTACAGAAACCAGGACTTTTGAAACCAGCCACTTCCAAATGAAGTAAAGTATCTCCATGATGGTTAACTAATAGTGCTAGCGAGGGAGATGCATCTATTAGAATCTCCACCATGGGTAAGTAGCCCCTGTAACAAGCTACATGTAATGCTGTGTTCCCATGATCATTGGTTAAGTCGATGATATCAAAAGATTCAAGTAGCTTTCTCACCACCTGCATCATTACCACAATACATGTCAAAAAAAATAAAGTACAATGCATATACAACCCATGACAATGTTAAAACACCATAGATCAATACATGTTTCAATAGCATTTATGATGAATCATAACCATTGTGCCTTCACAAAGACCAAAACACCCATTATCATTTTGTTTAATATTGTAACAGACTTTGTCAAAACAAAACAAAACAAAACTACTGATAGCAACTAGGACCTGTCATTATCATTTTTTTTAATATCCACAAAACAAAACTTCATCATGGTGCGGTATGTACAGACTTTGGTATCAATCATTATCATTTTGTTTAATATTGTAACAGACTTTGTCAAAACAAAACAAAACAAAACTCCAATGGACAACACAGACTTTGTTTAATCTCAAAATATGTGATATAATGGGCATTACTGATGTTTGGGTAACACTCTATAGATGGGTTCTAGTATCATTATCCATACGGTTTTACACCAGTGCCAAATCAACAAACTGAAACTGAAACAATAAAACTTCTAAAGAAAGAAAAATCAATTGTAACAGTGCGGTATTATTCATGCTACAGGTTGCTAACATGATCATTCACATCACCTGTAGCAGGAAGAGAACAAATGAATTCCTTGTGATTTTGACACTGTATTGCAGCAAGCAGCAGGTCTCAGAGAAAATAGCTAAAAGTTGAACGCAATACAAAACAACACTTGAAATTATCACCGTTAAGCGTCGATGCCGTAACATTCATTAACATGATGGAACAGAACTTGAAATCCAAAAGCAGGGCAGCATACAAAGTGTAGATCAATCATAACAGACAACAGTAACATAACTATACGGATAACACTAAGACTTCTGAATCTCGACCGTACGCTAATTATCTCTATGCTAACAAATTCCACACAAAGCTACAAGCAGGCTGCACAAATTTCAGCATACCAAGACTTCATATAGCTTGCAAGTTATTTACAAAGAGGTGGTCATAAACTTATAACATGAATAAAAACAATGTGAACCGCACGCTCACGACACACTCCAAACCAAAACATGCAGATTTCATAACTTCAATACACATAAGAATCACCAACAACTTAAATATACCACAAAGTTTAACTCTGAATCTCTTATCACGACCAAACGTAGCTAACAATCAAAGCATGTGAACAAGGAAGAAAAGTTGGAAATCACATAACAGTCACAACTATGATTACAAAGATGAATTTAGAGCATTAACACTTAGGGAAAAGAGAAATGATAATATCATATTCATCAAGATATTGGAATACAAAATACAATGGTTTCATCATACAATTTAAAACAAAGAAAAGAAGGTTAAGGAGTTAGAGCGCCTATTAATTGTCTGCAAACTTTCCAACAATAAGAAGAAGGTTTATCACCACACATGCATCTCAAATAAGTAAGTGGGAAAATTTTCCATAAAATTCAAGCTTATGGAATCCCATATACAATTAGGGATGGGAAGTGACTGTAACAACCCTTGAGAAGCAACAAGATCAGGTTTACATTGCTGACAAACATCACAAGTCCTAACATAATAGGATGTATTTGTTCATCCCCTTCCAAAAGAAAAGTGACTTTATTCTTGCAGCAATGACATCTCTTTCGCAGTGACCACCAGATGGTGAATTATGAAGCCATCTTAAAATAAATTTCTCAAAAATAAGATATGCCCCAATTAATAAATTTCCTTTCCTTTTGATCTCATCTTTACATTCTTGATTTAATGAATGAAAATATGGGTCTTGAGACAAGAAAGCCTTAATTTTTTCTAATAAATCCTCTTGTATTACTCAACAAGAGAGTCAATAACTCTGATCCTAACTTCTTTGAGTGGTAGTAGATAGTTGAGGACTGGGATAATTGGACTAAATGGATTAGTAATCGAGGTGGTATTGGTGTTCCTTCAAACAAGAGTTGGGAGTCATGGTGGGATGAGGAACAGGAGCATATGCAACACACTGGCCATACTGGCATGGTTCCCATTTGTTTCAGAATTCCAATAATCTATGCTTGAAAACTTAAGCTTCAAGTTAACTTTATTTATTCTATCATATAACTGAGATTCTTTTTGCAACTTTAGGAAAATCTTGAGCAGGGAAAGGAAATTGAGGTGAGAGAATTTGAAAACTAATGCATGCATGGATGTCTAAGACTTGTATTAAGCTGCAACTGTTCTTAAATTCTCCGCTTATTGGCGGTTGACAAGATAAGACATACGAAAAATTCAAGATGCCTCACAGCAAACAACATATTTTGGCAGTAAGATTTCAATATAGCATTGTAAAAATGTCTTGTGTGGTCTCAAATGTGTAAACCATGCTTTGAAAATTGTTAATAAATTTTAATTTTTTCTACTAAAAAGATCTTAACATCCTGTAAGATAAAAGATAAAAACAATTACTTTGTAGGTTGGGCCAATTCATAAAGAGCTCTGCTCTGTTTTAAATGGGCCCCACCGTGGGATTTGTTCCTTTGAATTAATCGGTCGCAAGATCGAATACTAAACTGAAAGAAGATGCAATACTTTAAGAGATCCGTTTTCATTTTCATCTAGATTATTTCTTAAACAATGTTCTTACTATTTTTGTTTATTTTTCTTACAGATCAACGACGACTCCTTAATCTACATGTAATTTATATATTTATGTTCTTGTATAAAAAGGATTCCAAAAGGATAAAAGATGTAATTTATTTCTTACAGATCAACGACGGCTCCAAAATCTTATGACGACTCCTACTAGGCCATTATGACCTAATACAAGTCACTCTTTTAATCGTAGGGATATGGTACAGTTCAAGCGCGTTTCCAACAATTAAGACCGATACCCTGCAAAGATATAACACCAATTCATATGAACCAATGCAAGCCTGCTGCTGGAAGCCAAGCTGCTATACTCTATACAGGATTATACCTTGTTGCATTAGGAACAAGTGGTATTAAAGCGGCGTTACCAGCCTTAGGAGCTGATCAACTTGATGATAAAGATCCAAAGGAAGCATCTCAATTGTCGAGTTTTTTTAACTAGTTCTTGTTTAGTCTTACAAAAGGAGCAATAGTTGGTGTTACTGTCATTGTTTGGATTAGTACTAATCAAGGATGATATTGGAGTTTTACTGTCTGCACTATTGCAGTCTTGTTCTCAATTCTGTTTATTTGTATGGGAAAGTCATTATATAGAAATAATACTCCTAAGGGAAGTCCTCTAATAAGAATCATATAGGTGAATAAAGTTACTATTATTGTATTTTATTTTTTCTATATGATTCAAAATGTTATTGTTTAATTGGACTTCTCTCCCAATCATCCCTATATTATTCATGTTTGTCATAATCCCTCTATACGACCGATTCTTCGTCCCATTTATCCGAAGATTCACAGGGATACCTGTTGTACCCCAAAATTTGCCCAACCTTTTCTAGCCTAGGCTTGTGTTTCAATTGCATAATCATTTGCATTTATCATCATGTGTATAGTGCATTCATCTGCATAGCATTGCATAAGAAAGAGATATTAAACAGGGGATCAAGTGCCAATATTAGGTGTATTCATGGGTTTCATTCATATTCAGGGTTACTCAGGTCATCAGAAGAGAATTTTAGCTTCAAAGAGTTGACAGATCACTCAGTGGATTCTCTCCTATCTTGAAGTGTTAGGGATCATCAGATGGAGTGTAAGCTGTGAGATATGGGCATGAAGTGTGTATGGATGGTATGAAGAGCCTAAATGATCATTTTGAAGAAGAACCAGCTCAGTGGAATGATTGCAAGAGCCTCAGTTGAAGTCAGTCAACTAGGGTTTCATCTGGGTCAACCCTAGGTCAACCCTAGGTCAAAGACTGGATTTGAAGAGTATCAAGACTCATGTGGAGATTGGGGGACTCATTATTGTATATATGGATGTGGATATGATAGTGTGCCAAAGAAAAATCAAGAGAAAAGTCAAGGATAAGTGGAGTTACCAAATTAGGGTTTTAGTGTAAAATCCCCTGATTAGGTCAAACTTCCAAGCAGTATAATTCAAAATGAGAGCTTCATATGGACTTTTTCTCTACATGGAACTTGTAGAGCATCTTCATAGCTTTAATTTGAGTGGTGGAAGTCATCAAGATGATTTTCAGAGCTCAAGTTATAGCTCTTGCAAGTTACAGGTCACCAGAGGACACTGAATTTTGCCTGGAGAAGTTGTCTGTCTCCCAACCAACTTTTGACATCCAAGATGGTTTCAAATGAATTTGGACTTCAAATAGGAGTTGTTCCTCATTGTCTCCCCTTTCCAAAAAGGTATGGTATGACTTCATCTGATTCTCAGAGCTCAACTTATAGTCAGTGCAAGACAGGGGTATTTTGGTCATTTGGTCATTATAGGTCCTTTTAAACACAAGGCTATATCTCATACAAGGGAGCTTCAAATGAAAAACTTCCCAACATGAAAGTTGCTCAAAATGAGATTTTTAGTCAAGATAGGAGGTCATGAATTGGTGGAAAAGTTCATAGCATGGAATGACAAAAATTGAGAAGAAATGAACTAAAATGCCTTATAACTTAATTCAAGTGAGTTTGAGATAATGGTTTGGGAGATATATACATCCAAATGGGGTCATCCAATAGATGATTTTGGGTCTAAAACACATTCTAGAGACAATGGTTCAAGCACTTTTTTGAGCCTAGTTCAAAATTTCAAAGTTATCCTTGGTTACTTGTAATTGAAGAAACATACCAAAGTTGGATCACTTGTGGAATGTAAGGGAAGGTGTAGGAATGCTCTAGAAACTTCCATGGAGGCCTATATATTCATGAAATCAGATTTGAGCAAGGGTTGGAATCACCATTTTGTGCAAAGCTTCACCATTTTCTCTCATTCCCCAAAGTTGCATTTTGATCAAAATTCACAAGTTCTCCATTGATCAAGCATCAACACTGAGTCTACTACATTTCATCATCATCATAGATCAGAATTCAACCAAGAACAGGGTGTGATCAATCCATTTTCGAGCACCATAATCATCAACATCAAAATTGCAATTTCAAGT